ATGCCGATGCACAGAACGCAATTTGACCAAGCGCTTTTGGACCTTCGATCACTCATAATCTGATCACGTGTCTTTAGACCATCTGTGACATGAAACTTACACAAAGCACAGCGTTGGACCAAAAGCGTTTTGACCTTTGATCGTTGTCGCCCGCACTTCGTAACCTTTGGTTATTACTAGTTTAAGAATAAACCCAAGGCTGAGAATTTGATAATAAAATATATACAGCAGAATTTATGCTTTTCACTTAACAAAACGGCATTTAAAACCCCAATACATCGTTAAGCGGATTTATCGTCATTTATAATTAAGAATAATTCCAGAATATTTTCAGCCTAAAATTGACAGAAAAATTAGAATATTAATTTAGCCCGGATCGGAAAAACAACATTCTTGCTAAAAAGGAGTGTATATAAACAAGGCTTTTGTCCACACGTATCCAGTGAATCAGGCATAGGAATCCGCAACTTTTGAAATCCGCTCTCCAGAGTGGAAAGTTTTGAATATGCCATGAATCCGGAATCGTGTAGACACTAAGTCCGGATTTAATATTGTTTTATCCGGTGACGTAACAAGATCAAGCCCAGTTCTTTACCGTGAATACTGTGTTCAAGATAGCAACCTCGTTGCCAGGTTCTCTCTCTTACCCGACGAGGAGTGAACATTAGCTTGCTCTTTGCAAAGCTCTTCGGGGGTGATTCTGCCATAATTGTACATGCAGATTTCACGCGCTTTACGACGCATGCTTAGCTTTGTTGCCAATATTCCCAGAGCAGTCCTGGGTACTAGAGTGAATCCTGATGCGTGTCGGATACGCGCCGGAACGGGTAAATTCGATTGAATACGGATACGTGTGGAAATGGAAATTTTTTCTTGGCGGATTTAAAAAATATTTGGATTCAAGAATATTATGTGTTCTTTATTCCCTTCAAGCGTTGTCCGAGACAACGTCAAGGACACAAGATCAAGAGTTTTTGCTATCATTTTTTCAATTGCCGAGTGATGAAAAGTTATTAGAAAAATGATATAAATCTTCTGCGTTTGGTCATTCATAGCTTTTTCTGACAAATTACAGTGGAACCTCATGATATAACGAACATCTATGTAACGAAGTCCTCGATATAACGACGATTTTCTTTACCCCAGTAATAGTAAAATATATGAAAATCAACCTCGACATAACGAAACCTTATTATAGCGAACAAATTTTGCCAGTTCCTTGGCCTTTGGTTATATTAAGCTTCCACTGCCAGTATCTGCGGGAAGTTATCAAGTTAATTAGAATTCGGGACTATATTATTTATATTGACATCTGTCATTACCTGTTGGTTGAGGCGTAGAAACAACAGATGTGGATGGCATCATCATGGTAGTGGTGGTAGGTGTCATCCCTGCAGCCATGGCCATAGCGATCAGGTTTTGCTTATTCGCTGATATTCCCCTGCTAGTGTGCTGTGGACCCAAATTTGCCACCGCTGTATTGGCATCCGTAGTTGAGTGCATAGCCCAGACAATATAGACTTCAGTATTGATCTGATTTCCAAAGGTAGACAAAGAAAGAAACTATGTAAAAAGCCGGCAGTAAATTATAACTGAAAATTATCAATTGACAAGTTTGCGAAGTACACAGAAAGTGCACTTGTTGCGATTTTATAGTCGAATTTTAAACGTGTTTTATAAACTTTTTATGTACTGAAGGGAGATTTTAAGTTGTTTTCTCAATTACTGTACGCGTCATCTACATTCCAATTTTTTATTAATGAAAACAGTAACGGTACCCCTAACCCAAAAATGCCGCAAACAGATGAATTCTATGGCTTTATAACTGAAGTTGGGAGAACATTCTATTTTTGTGATTGATTCCTATTTAAAAGACAGTGTTTTTACAGCAGTTAAAAGGGATGAAAGTTCTAAACAGGGTATGTTAAAGGGGTACCATTCGTCAATAGAAGGTATACGAAAGGGGTACCTTTTTCGTGAAAAGTAGTATCATATAAAATAAAGCTTCAGACACAAATGATCCTTTTTTTACTTCAGGTTAACTTAAGTCTTTTTTCCCAAGGATTATAATTAAGATTGATTGACATGCTTTGCCTCAGACAAAGCTTTAGAAAGCGCAAGTTCGCAAAGTCGGTTTTAAGGATGGTTTTTAAGTCACTTGAAGCTTTTTTTCTTGAATCGTTTCAACTTTCCAACTTCAATGACATGCCAAGTAAAAAAACTTGAAATTTTTCTTAGGCCTTCACACATGTATCTTTGGTTAAGTAAAACTTAGCAGCTCATAAGTTTTACTTAACGGTCTAGGGTAAAGACTAGCTACAGAGACGAGTTCACTCACAGATGTTACTGGAATATTTGTTGTACAAGCTTACCGTAAACTGAACATCTAAGTTTGATTCTCCTGTCGTCAAATTTCTTTCAAATTTAACGCTGGTATATCCACCCATTTCCGTGGCTTCAAGTAGCTCAAAGTTGTTAACAGCATCTTTTGGTAATGCTGACGTTGTGGTGCTCCAGTAATCCTGTAGGTCACATATAGAGTCAGTTTGGGTTATTTTGGTGTAAGTTGTAATTGGAAGTAAAGTTTAGCCGTGTCTATGTCAGATATAAAGACACTAATAAAATATAGCTTTTTTGTTTTTCCTTTACGAATTATTAATGACTCGGGATATCACAAAAACCTCATCCAATAATTGTTTATCATCGGATGGAAAGACATAAACAAGGGAATTTGTATGTAGTAACAAGTTCAGTAAACAGACTAGTGTGGGCAGTGATTTCTCTCCTCCTTCGTTTCAGTACAAAAGTAAAAGAGTTTTAGTTTAATTTTAGAATTCGTCCCACCTTATGTATTTCTCTTAAATCCTGATTATGATAATAATATTAACGATAAACAACTATTATTGTTATTGTTGTTATTATTGTTGTTGTTGTCGATAAGAATTCTTGTTATTGGGTTTACTTGTCCTCCGACCATCTAAAGGGTGTTTCAAAAGTTCGTTCCGATTTTTTATTCGCTTAAATTTGACTAATTATTAAAAAAAACCTTTTGCAAAACTTAGTATGTTATTCATTATTTATTTAACATTGAATAACTAAAATATTAGTAACCAGAATGTCTTCCGGTATGTTTTCTGACATTTTCTAAGCGGTGAGGTATACAATGTACGAGCTCCCAAGGCGCGTCCAAAGTCACATTCTTCCAGGCGAAGCGTAGTCACTATCTTAGCTCGTCCAGTGTTTTGGGAGCTGGATCTTTGTATGTTGTCTCGTCTACGATAATCCAGATGGTCTCTAGGGGGTTCACATCACATGAGTTTGCCGGCTGGTCCTCCTGTGGTATAAAGTTGGCAAATCCTTCTGACACCATGCTTGCATGAAGTGTGCACCGCCTTTTCCTTTTCAAGGCTTTCCAACTTTTTTTAGTAACTTATCCTCGTACCGTTATGCTCGAAACTTTGATCGGTAATGTGAAGTTGAAATTTTTTTACCTTTCTGTTTTGTGGAATTATTAAGCATATACTTACAGCTTTTTCGATAATATTTCTCACACAGTTTGTGATAAAACGGCCATGCACTCCTTGGTTTGTCTTCTAAGGTCTTTACTTTTGACCACTTGTTCGGTCATCGTTCAGACTTGTTCAACAATTTGAGAATTTTTTTTGACTGAATGGCCAGAAGACCATAAAAATAGATGCCTGAGTTCTAGCACAAACAGTGTAGGCCTCCATTTTTATGAAGGAGTAGAGAAAATGAAAAAAAAAACGATAAAAATACCAAAATAAAAAACCTACAAAATGGGCAGGAAACTGTATGGCGGGAAAAACCTCGCGTACGTGTACAGTTGGGGCAAAAATTTAAAAAAAAATTATAATTTCTTCAAATTTTAGTTTGAAATTGCTTTTAACGGTTATTTAGATAAATTTCTTACCTGAATCAGTTTACATTTGCTAAAGAAGCATTAAATGCTTTGCGCAAAATACAATTTACAATTGGAACGAACTGTTGAAACACCCTGTGTTTCAAGTTTACTACAAGTTTATTACGACAGCTTATTTTATTACAAAGTGCGACAATGTTACTACAAAGTGCGATAGGTATTACAAAGTGTGACGATTATAATTATTACAAAGTACGACATGTATCTATTAATCTAAGCAATCTTTCTCTAGCAACCAGGAGAACGATCAATTATTGTTTACTTCACTACCGAAAAGTACAACCGCTCACATTATACAAACTTACCTCAAGATAAGATGTGTTATTAGCAGAGACCCCGCCGGCAGCGATATCGTAGTTTACCATACCTCTACCGCCAGGATTTTCTGTAAAACCCACTGCACACCAGCCGGTTGCTTTACAGGTCATGTTGAAGATCAGCTTGTTGTTGCTATAGATCCAATGCAACATGAAATTGCCGTTACCAGCACTAAACATAGCGTAATTCAATACATCAACTACATGGAAAAAACAAGGAAACAAGATAAGCATAAACATGCGTAGCTCTTGAGAAACGCCATCGAAACAACCCTCGCTTCGGATGCCGAGAATTCCCTGAAGGAATAAGCAGATTAAGCCGCAGGGAATTCGTTGGACAATAGATTTACTAGAGCGCTGTCGAATTGTAAAAAGGAAGAAAACATCTGTGCAGAGGTGTTGGTCTCAGTTCGAAAGCCGGAAGAAAGTGTGAGGTGCTTTACGATTTGAAATATGTGACTTAATTTTAAATCCCGTTTACCCATGCAATTTGACATTTACAGTGGAAATCACGGCGGTCAATTGCTCGCGCGGGGTCTCGGATTATGCAAGATTATACATAATCATTTTAAGAATATATTTTATAAGAATGTCGAGGCTGAATTCTGCGAAATTCTAAGAATAAGTGCAGGTGACAAGAGGAGCCCTCAATCCTAATCTCCAGGTTGTTCTTGGGTATGCGTCGCATGTATGTAGCCAGCATTCGTTCGGACTTCCACTAAGAATGAACGCCCATGCACAGAACGCGATTTGACCACGCGCGTTTGGACCTTCGATCACTCGTAATCTGAGCACGTGTGTTTAGACGATCTGTCACATGAAACTTACACAAAGCACAGAGCGTTTTGACCTTCGATCATTGTCGCCCGCACTCCGTAACCTTTGGTTATTACTAGTTTAAGAATAAACCCAAGGCTGAGAATTTGATAAATACAGCAGAATTTATGCTTTTCACTTAACAAAACGGCAAGCGCAGTGGCAATTAAAACCCCCTGATACATCCTTGAACGGATTTATCGCCATTTATAATTAAGAATAATTCCAGAATATTTTTAGCCTAGAATTGACAAAAAAATTAGAATATTAATTCAGCCCGGGGCCGGAAAAACAACATTCTTGCTAAAGAGTGTACATAAACAAGGCTTTTGTCCACACGTATCCGGTGATTCGGGCATACGAATCCTCAACTTTTTGAATCCGCTCTCCAGAGTGGAAGTTTTTGCATATGCCATTAATTCGGAATCGTGTAGACGCTAAGTCCGGATTTAATATTGTTTTATCCGGTGACGTGACAAGATCAAGCCCAGTTCTTTACCTTGAATACTGTATTCAAGATAGCAACCTCGTTCCCAGGTTCCCTCTCTTACCCGTCGAGGAAGGAACCTTAGCTCGCTCTTTGCAAAGCTCTTCTGGGGTGATTCTGCCATAATTGTACATGCAGATTTCACGCGCTTTACGACGCATGCTTAGCTTTGTTGCCAATATTCCCAGAGCAGTCCTGGGTACTAGAGTGAATCCGGATGCGTGTCGGGTACGCGCCGGAACGGGCAAATTCGATTTGAATACGGATACGTGTGGAAATGGAAATTTTTTCTTGGCGGATTTAAAAAATATTTGGATTCAAAAATATTATGTGTTATTTATTCCCTTCAAGCGTTGTCTGAGACAACGTCAAGGACACAAGATCAAGAGTTTTTGTAGCCTGAGTAGCAGGCCTTCCTAACGGGGTAGGGGAGAGGAGATTTTTCCCCTTTTCCCCAGAAACGCCTGATACTCAGGCTAGAGTTTTTGCTACCATTTTTTCAATTGTCGAGTGTTGAAAAGTTATTAGAAGAATGATGTAAATCTTCTTCGTTTGGTCATTCATAGCTTTTTCTGACAAATTACGTACAGTGGAACCTCATGATATAACAAACCTCTATGTAGCGAAGTCGTCGATATAGCGAACGATTTTCTTTACCCCAGTAATAGTAAAATATATGAAAATCAACCTCGATATAACGAAACCTTGTTATAGCGAACAAATTTTGCCCGTCGCTTGGCCCTTCGTTATATTGATGTTCCACTGCCAGTAACTGCAGGAAGTAATCAAGTTAATTAGAATGCGGGACTATATTATTTATATGGACGTCGGTCATTACCTGTTGGTTGAGGCGTAGAAACAACAGATGTGGATGGCATCATCATGGTAGTGGTGGTAGGTGTCATCGCTGCAGCCATGGCCTCAGCGATCAGGTTTCGCGCATTTCCTGACTTTCCCCTCATAGTGTGCTGTGGGCTCAAATTTGCCGGCGCTGGATTGGCATCCGTAGTTGAGTGCATAGCCCAGACAATATAGACTTCAGTATTGTTCTGAAATCCATTGGTAGACAAAGAAAGTAACCATGTAAAAAGCCGGCAGTAACTTATAACTGAAAATTATCAACTGACAAGTTTGCGAAGTTTTTTTTCGAAATTAAAGGCGCGAAAATGATGAATAACCTACCGTACACATNTTATTAGAAGAATGATGTAAATCTTCTTCGTTTGGTCATTCATAGCTTTTTCTGACAAATTACGTACAGTGGAACCTCATGATATAACAAACCTCTATGTAGCGAAGTCGTCGATATAGCGAACGATTTTCTTTACCCCAGTAATAGTAAAATATATGAAAATCAACCTCGATATAACGAAACCTTGTTATAGCGAACAAATTTTGCCCGTCGCTTGGCCCTTCGTTATATTGATGTTCCACTGCCAGTAACTGCAGGAAGTAATCAAGTTAATTAGAATGCGGGACTATATTATTTATATGGACGTCGGTCATTACCTGTTGGTTGAGGCGTAGAAACAACAGATGTGGATGGCATCATCATGGTAGTGGTGGTAGGTGTCATCGCTGCAGCCATGGCCTCAGCGATCAGGTTTCGCGCATTTCCTGACTTTCCCCTCATAGTGTGCTGTGGGCTCAAATTTGCCGGCGCTGGATTGGCATCCGTAGTTGAGTGCATAGCCCAGACAATATAGACTTCAGTATTGTTCTGAAATCCATTGGTAGACAAAGAAAGTAACCATGTAAAAAGCCGGCAGTAACTTATAACTGAAAATTATCAACTGACAAGTTTGCGAAGTTTTTTTTCGAAATTAAAGGCGCGAAAATGATGAATAACCTACCGTACACATAAAGTGCACTGTTGCGGTTTTATAGCCGAATTTTAAACGTGTTATAAAAAACTTTTCATGTACTGAAGGGAAATTGAAAGTTGTTTTCTCAATTACTGTACGCGTTATCTACATTCCAATTGTTTATTAATGAAAACAGTAACGGTGCCCTAACCCAAAAATGCCGGAAACACATGAATTTTATGGCATTATAACTAAAGTTGACAAAATTTTCTATATTTGTGATTGATTCGTAGGATGAAAGTTCTAAACAAGGTATGTTAAAGGGGTACCATTCGTTAATAGAAGGTATACGAAAGGGGTACCTTTTTCGTGAAAAATATAGTATCATATAAAATAAAGCTCCAGACACAAATGATTCTTTTTTTTACTTCAGGTTAACTTAAGTCTTTTTTCCCAGGAGTGAAATATAATTAAGATTGATTGACAAGCTTTGCCTCAAACAAAGCTCAAGAAAGCGCAAGTTCGCAAAGTCGGTTTTAAGGATGGTTTTTCAGTCACTTGAAGCTTTTTTTTTCTTGAATCGTCTCAACTATCCGACTTCAATGAGATGCAAAGAAAAAAAAATTGAAATTTTTCTTGGGCCTTCTTAAGTAAAACTTAGGAGCTCATAAGTTTTACTTAACGGTCTAGTGTAAGGACTAGCTACAGAGTTCACTCACACATGTTACTGGAATATTTGTTGTACAACCTTACCGTAAACTGAACATCTATGTTTGATTCTCCTGTCGTCAAATTTCTTTGAAATTTAACGCTGGTATATCCGCCCATCTCCGTGGCTTCAACTAGCTCAAAGTTGTTAACAGCATCTTTTGGTGGTGCTGACGTTGTGGTGCTCCAGTAATCCTGTAGGTCACATATAGAGTCAGTTTGGGTTATTTTGGTGTAAGTTGTAATTGGAAGTAAAGTTTAGCCGTGTCTATGTCAGATATAAAGACACTAATTAAATATAGCTTTTTTGTTTTTTCCTTTACGAATTACTAATGACTCCGGATATCACAAAAACCTCATCCAATAATTGTTTATCATCGTATGGAAAGACATAAACAAGGAATTTTCTATGTAGTAACAAGTTCAGTAAACAGACTAGTGTTGGCAGTGATGCCTCTCCTCCTTAGTTTCAGTACAAAAGTAAAATAGTTTTTAGTTTAATTTTAGAATTCCTCCCACCTTATGTATTTCTATTGAATCCTGATTATGATAATAATAATAACAATAAACAACTATTATTATTATTGTTATTATTGTTATTACTGTTGTTGTTGTCAATTAGAATTCTTGTTATTGGGTTTACTTGTCCTCCGACCATCTATTTCAAGTTTATTACAAGTTTATTACGACAGCTTATTTTATTACAAAGTGCGATAGGTATTACAAAGTGCGACATGTATCTGTTCATCTAAGAGGATCTAAGTAATCTTTCTCTAGCAACCAGGTAAACGATCAATTAACTTATAGTTTACTTCACTACCGAAAAGTACAACCGGTCACATTATACAAACTTACCTCAAGATAAGATGTGTTATTAGCAGAGACCCCGCCGGCAGCGATATCGTAGTTTACCATACCTCCACCGCCAGGATTTTCTGTAAAACCCACTGCACACCAGCCGGTTGCTTTACAAGTCATGTTGAAGATCAGCTTGTTGTTGCTATAGGTCCAATGCAACATGAAATTGCCGTTACCAGCACTAAACATAGCGTAATTCAATACATCAACTACATGGAAAAAACAAGGAAACAAGATAAGCATAAACATGCGTAGCTCTTGAGAAACGCCATCGAAACAACCCTCGCTTCGGATGCCGAGAATTCCCTGAAGGAATAAGCAGATTAAGCCGCAGGGGATTCGTTGGACAATAGATTTACTAGAGCGCTGTCGAATTGTAAAAAGGAAGAAAACATCTGTGCAGAGGTGTTGGTCTCAGTTCGAAAGCCGGAAGAAAGTGTGAGGTGCTTTACGATTTGAAATATGTGACTTAATTTTAAATCCCGTTTACCCATGTAATTTGACATTTACAGTGGAAATCACGGCGGTCAGTTGCTCGCGCGGGGTCTCGGATTATGCAAGATTATACATAATCATTTTAAGAATATATTTTATAAGAATGTCGAGGCTGAATTCTGCGAAATTCTAAGAATAAGTGCAGGTGACAAGAGGAGCCCTCAATCCTAATCTCCAGGTTGTTCTTGGGTATGCGTCGCATGTATGTAGCCAGCATTCGTTCGGACTTCCACTAAGAATGAACGCCCATGGGAGAACGCGATTTGACCACGCGCGTTTGGACCTTCGATCACTCATAATCTGAGCACGTGTGTTTAGACGATCTGTCACATAAAACTTACACAAAGCACAGAGCGTTTTGACCTTCGATCATTGTCGCCCGCACTCCGTAACCTTTGGTTATTACTAGTTTAAGAATAAACCCAAGGCTGAGAATTTGATAAATACAGCAGAATTTATGCTTTTCACTTAACAAAACGGCAAGCGCAGTGGCAATTAAAACCCCATGATACATCCATAAACGGATTTATCGCCATTTATAATTAAGAATAATTCCAGAATATTTTTAGCCTAGAATTGACAAAAAAATTAGAATATTAATTCAGCCCGGGGCCGGAAAAACAACATTCTTGCTAAAGAGTGTACATAAACAAGGCTTTCGTCCACACGTATCCGGTGAATCGGGCATACGAATCCGCAACTTTTTGAATCCGCTCTCCAGAGTGGAAATTTTTGCATATGCCATGAATTCGGAATCGTGTAGACACTAAGTCCGGATTTAATATTGTTTTATCCGGTGACGTAACAGGATCAAGCCCAGTTTTTTACGATGAATACTGTATGAGCACATTTCGTAAATATTTTCGAGCGCTTTTCGGGACATTTTTTCGTAAAGTTTTCTTAGAATAAGATTGTAATGGGAAAAAAAGATCCTTGTGCCGTGTTTGGATGTAATAATGATCGCCTTTTTCCCGAGAAATATACAGTGAAAGACCATATTTCTAACACTAAACTAGAAAAAGACGATCATTATTACATCCAAACACGGCACAAGGATCTTTTTACCCATTACAATCTTATTCTAAGAAAACTTTAAGAAAAAATGTCCCGAAAAGCGCCGAAAAATACAAACGAAATGGGCTCATGCCCCCTGGGCATCCTATAATACTCCTTAAATCGAATTTATTCAATATGGCCGCCGTATCGGTAAAAAGGTCTATTCTACATGCAGATTTCACGTGCTTTACGACGCATGCTTAGCTTTGTTGCCAATATTCCCAGAGCAGTCCTGGGTACTAGAGTGAATCCGAATGCGTGTCGGGTACGCGCCGGAACGGGTAAATTCGATTTGATTACGGGTACGTGTGGAAATGGAAATTTTTTCTTGGCGGATATCAAAAATATTTGGATTCAAAAATAGTATGTGTTATTTATTCCCTTCAAGCGTTGTCTGAGACAACGTCAAGGACACAAGATCAAGAGTTTTTGCTATCATTTTTTCAATTGTCGAGTGATGAAAACTTATTAGAAGAATGATGTAAATCTTCTTCGTTTGGTCATTCATAGCTTTTTCTGACAAATTACGTACAGTGGAACCTCATGATATAACAAACCTCTATGTAACGAAGTCGTCGATATAGCGAACGATTTTCTTTACCCCAGTAATAGTAAAATATATGAAAATCAACCTCGATATAACGAAACCTTGTTATAGCGAACAAATTTTGCCCGTAGCTTGGCCCTTCGTTATATTGATGTTCCACTGCCAGTAACTGCAGGAAGTAATCAAGTTAATTAGAATGCGGGAATATATTATTTATATGGACGTCGGTCATTACCTGTTGGTTGAGGCGTAGAAACAACAGATGTGGATGGCATCATCATGGTAGTGGTGGTAGGTGTCATCGCTGCAGCCATGGCCTCAGCGATCAGGTTTCGCGTATTTCCTGACTTTCCCCTCATAGTGTGCTGTGGGCTCAAATTTGCCGACGCTGGATTGGCATCCGTAGTTGAGTGCATAGACCAGACAATATAGACTTCAGTATTGTTCTGAAATCCAAAGGTAGACGAAGAAAGTAACTATGTAAAAAGCCGGCAGTAACTTATAACTGAAAATTATCAATTGACAAGTTTGCGAAGTTTTTTTTTGAAATTAAAGGCGCGAAAATGATGAATAACCTACCGTACACATAAAGTGCACTGTTGCGGTTTTATAGCCGAATTTTAAACGTGTTTTAAAAAAATTTTCATGTACTGAAGGGAAATTGAAAGTTGTTTTCTCAATTACTGTACGCGTTATCTACATTCCAATTGTTTATTAATGAAAACAGTAACGGTACCCTAACCCAAAAATGCCGCAAACACATGAATTTTATGGCATTATAACTGAAGTTGACAAAATTTTCTATTTTTGTGATTAATTTTTAGGATGAAAGTTCTAAACAGGGTATGTTAAAGGGGTACCATTCGTTAATAGAAGGTATACGAAAAGGGTACCTTTTTCGTGAAAAATATAGTATCATATAAAATAAAGCTAGCTCATAAGTTTTACTTAACGGTCTAGTGTAAAGACTAGCTACAGAGTCCACTCACACATGTTACTGGAATATTTGTTGTACAACCTTACCGTAAACTGAACATCTATGTTTGATTCTCCTGTCGTCAAATTTCTTTGAAATTTAACGCTGGTATATCCACCCATCTCCATGGCTTCAACTAGCTCAAAGTTGTTAACAGCATCTTTTGGCGGTGGTGAAGTGCTGGTGCTCCAGTAATCCTGTAGGTCACATATAGAGTCAGTTTGGGTTATTTTGGTGTAAGTTGTAATTGGAAGTAAAGTTTAGCCGTGTCTATGTCAGATATAAAGACACTAATAAAATATAGGTTTTTTGTTTTTTCCTTTACGAATTATTAATGACACCACCCTCTAAAGTTTGACTTGTTGCAGTCACCTACGAGGGCTCATTCTCGTAATCAGCACTAGTAACGATTTCTTTTTCGAATTTAAAAAACCAGTGTTTGCTTACACTAGCTTCGGCTGTAACTTAAACAAGCGTTCACATAGTGAGTTTATGATGCCTGCAGAGGAAGTTTGCATTTTCACAAGTAATTACTTAGCTTGTCTGTTTTTCCTTTATTTTACCAACTTTTTTAAAATTTCATAACCGTTCATTCTAAACTTCTTCTTGGTGTTATTGGTTATTGCATAATTTCAAGAGATTATCTATGTTTTCTAATTTACAGAAAACATTCTATGTGTTTCCTAGAAGTTTGTTGCAACTCCACTTTCAGGCTTGGCTAGGAGCCCATAACCAGAAGTGAGCAACTCCCATACTAGGACCAATTTATTTTTAGCCAGAATATGTAAGATTGCTCTTTCCTTAAAGAGAATACCTTTAACTTTTAAAGTTTATGGACAAGAACCACTATCCCTGCGAGTTTAAAAAAGTCTGGTAGAAACGCAGCGTACCTAAGGCCAGCGAGCTACTGTTTTACGCACAGGTATGAATAACAATGGCTGTCAAATATAACAATACGCCATTGAAAACCACTCACTGTGAAGTATGCTCTTATCTGGTGCCGCGAACTTTGAAATATATTTAAGAATCACTAGACTTTATTAACACAATCTGCCTAGGCTTTTGTACATTATGCTAGCATTTTTTCGAGCATTTTAGTGAGGCAAAAGCATTGAGCATTATTCGAGCATTTTAGTGGCATTTTCCCCGGGAAATTAATTTTTCCGAGAAAATATAATAGAAATTAACTTTTTTCAGGAGCCCATGCCCCATGAGCTCCTGCTTTTTTAGACAAAATGAAGACTAGAATTCAAAATTCACAAAAAACCTAATACAGCTGGTTTTTTTGGCTGTATTTATGAACTTGTTGTGCAACAGCAACGATGAACGTTGTGAACGTGCAAAAACATTCACATTTGAAACTTTAATTAAAATTTTTTGGCAAACATATTACTCGTAATAGCGAGCATTTTAGAGACTTTTTTAGGGAGACCGAGCAGTTTAGTGGGAAAAATGGAGCATTAAGGTGGAGCATTTTAGTAGGGAAGCAAAAGCATAATGTACAAAAGCCTAAATCTGCCAGGCGTATACGCTTGATCAATACTACTAACAATAGTTGACACCACAGCTTCCCCCGCTCTGTATATTGTCGGTCAATAGTATTCTTGCTCGTTGTGTAGCTCTTTGAAATATACCGATTCATAATGAAGATTTTCACACATATTCCATACAATAGGTGAGATAAATACAGGAGACGCAAGATTCCATGCACAGTTTCAGTTCGATTTACACAGCTTTGATCAAAACATTCTCAGTTTCCGGAATAGTTTATTCTAAACCATAAGAAAAGATTTAATGAGAAGTTGAATTTTTCGCTATTTCTCTTTCACTTTTACATTCAGTTCGTTTTATTTGCCGGAAAGTAAGCCTTAGAAATTAAAAGGACGTTTGATCAATTCACTCTCGCGCATTCTAGTCTTATTTTAAACTTTGTAGTGGAAGGAAATCTGTGAGCAGGGAATAAGTCAGCACAGAATTTGATTGTCGGCGAATCTCTGTAATCGTCCATCGTTCTGCTAGTGATAAGCTCGCCGTTGATTCACTCGTCTTGCTTGTTCGGGGCCGAGTCTTACTAGCTAATTCTCGTCAAAAAGAGAGAAAGGGTGTCTGGCAAGGTTTCCAATCAAAGATTTGTGAACTGGTGTCCGGCAACGCCTCCAAGTGTTTATATACACACAGTTATACGCACGTTATAACTTCATCTGCGCATAACGAATGTCTTTTGGTCCATAACTTTCGTAACAACTGCTCCACAGAATGTCACTGATAACACGTAACGCAAAAGTCAAAACGTCAAATGTCACAAAATCTACCGAAGCGGTCCCTTCGGGATTTTCTGTCTTTACGTCATCCTAACCATTTCGCACTTGCGGGCGCAAACAATAGAAACGTCATCATTACCTACCGATTCCTCGCGGCCCCTGTTCAAGTAAATCGAAATACGTAATGCTTCTCCTTTTATAAAACTCCTTTTTTGCGGTTTGAAGTGTGGCAAGATGAGAAGTGTGTATATTGAAAAGTTTTTGGTATGCTTGAAATGTGTTTGCAAGTCATGGATTTTATACGTTGAAAGGCGAGGTCCTTTGAAAACCTCAGAAAAATCAGTCCCAACAAACAAATTAACATACCTGTGGAAAAATGGCTCAGTCAAAAATAAAATTACCTCTAGACTGCCTTGGGCTTAAAGCGTAATAGTGACGACACAAGCGCGCTCTAGTTCGCGCGCGAAAATTTTTTTCGACAATACTCAATTGCAACCAGTTTTCAAAGGACTGTAACTTTATTCAATCTCAGCTGTAAAAGCATCGTAAGATTGATTAAGTTTAAGCGCACAGGGTGCAAAGAAAGTCAGTGTTACAGCCTACCTAAAACCATCTACCTCTCCCTTAAAAACACTTTTTGACTCGTCCCAACTCTCTGGTAGTATTAACGTCCAAGATGGCGGGACAACGTCATTCCTAAAACAATTCATGGATCCCGCTCCAAAATACGCCTGCTTTGCAGGCTACAGCCTACCATTTGGGCAAGCTGTAGCTAGCGTGTACTAGCCCACAAGTCTTTTCAATTAGCCCCAAAACCCTTTTTGATTAACAGGATTGATTACAATCCTTCTGTAATTTGAATTTCCCCCAAAAACAGCACTTGCCCGTCGGACGATTTAAGAACAAAAATCACTAGCCCAATAGCAAAATCCACTAGCCCTGGGCTATCGGACATAACTTTCTTTGCACGTTGGCGCATTGAAATATTAACTGTCCTTTAAAGACTTCTGTGTTTCTATTGTCACCCTTGTAAGCACGCGTTGTATAAGCGATTTAAGTTGAGATATTAAGAAACAAAAGGATGAACAACAGCTCGCATGGCCTTTGGTTTTTTTTGCTCTGCCCTGACAAGTTGATGAACAAGGCGGTAATCAATATAAAGGAAAGACCGCGCAGACTTCCACCAATGATAGTGATTCAGTTCACGCTTCACCTGTAATATTACCGACCTATGCTTCTAGCTCGACTGCAAGAACAATAGCCATTCTGCGCAATGACACACTAGGGCACTTTTCCCACGAAAATAGAATCTCCACCATGTCTATGAGCGCATTCGAAGTATAAGATATCAAAAAGGGAGACTAAACGTTATTAAAAGGCAAAAAATATCATTTTTAGGTCTGTAGGTTTTGCTGACTGGTTTGTGGAATTTAAAAGATATTCAAAATTCGCGCCAAAACCGTTCTAAAAATAAACTGGTCCGCGAAAACGCCGTGACACGCGGAGCGCATGGAAGTTGCTCACTCAGGGTTATGGGCTCCTGGCTTGGCTAACTTTGGTTAGTTGAAATTGAAACGTATGCGTTGACGCGTGCATGCCTTAGAAGATTTCAAGCGATCTTTGGCTTAAGGATTTTTAAATTCGTAAACGGTCTCCAGAGTAGATAAACTCCTGACTGGTAAACGTTGTAAACGGATAAATGACGTTTTTATACATTGTACTCACTATCTGTCCTCTCATTGGCTAAGAACCCACAGCTAATTTTAGAATTCAACGCAACCTACATATTAGTTAGTTATCTACTAGCAGATAACTGTCTAATCTGTAGGTTGCGGGCGCAATATATGATTTCCTGTAACAATATCAAGTCAAGTTCCTTGAGACGGTGTGTTTGTCGTTATGTTTTTCAAAACAATGTGTTATAAAACAATTATTAGATTCGGTTTTTGTGACATCCTATATAATCAAGGTCTCGGTAAGTGTCATCAGCTTAGGCCTTCGGCTCGGCTTGTAACACTTACCTCGACCTTCATTATTCCGGATTTCACAAAAACCTCATCCAATAATTGTTTATCATCGTATGGAAAGACATGAACAAGGAAATTTCTATGCAGTAACAAGTTCAGTAAACAGACTAGTGTGGGCAGTGATGCCTCTCCTCCTTCGTTTCAGTACAAAAGTTAAATAGTTTTTAAACTATCATCATGACCTTGAATTGTTTGGTAACTAGTTGTTGGTACCACACATGTAGACCGCTTATTGCCAACCTTCACATTCCTCCCTATCTTATCCTATATCCTCAACTAGGGTATCTAAAAGATAGCAATGCTGCAGTACTTTCTGTTAATACTGACATTAGTTAGGCAGTGATCCTTCTCAGCTTGCGTGAGACGATTATACCTTAGTTTTATTTAACAATTATTCCACGAGGGCGCTTTGGACATGAGATGCTAGATAGCCAACAAGGCGTGTAGCGCCGAGTTGGCTATAATCATCTCATATCCAACAAGCGCGAATGGAATAATTGTTTTATTAAAAACGCCCTCAAAATCTCGATGCATTTCCCCACTTAATTTTTTTAGAACAAACCGGAAAAGACAAGGGACTTCCGCTATTCACATGTCACACGTCTATCAAAACTGTCAACGCGTGAACGGACTGGATGAATGAAAAATCAAAACATATAGCGATGAACACTTTTTAAAAAATTCATCAGAATTCTAGAATTTTACACAGCAGGACAGCTACAAAAACCTCGCAGATAATGTGAAGAAAAATAATTTTTAACTGCAGCCGTCGAAATTACTGTGAATTTGGATTTTTGGTGCAGTTACAAAAGTAAGAACAATGGAGAAAAACTACCTCAATCGCTTGTTATGAAGTTGTTTGAAGCCACCGGCTGGTTTTACTGAACGAGAGAAGAAGCTGTACTGACGCATCGATTGCTGTAGTCAATGGCTGCATAGCCTGTATTTGTAGCTGGTTGCTTGTGATTTACCGATTCTTCATGTCGGATAAACAGGCTGCAGTTATCTATCGGCGAGCGACTCGGCGAGTGGCTTCGCGATCATGAAGAAACCACAATTGTCTTCTTTCGTAGCTGGTCAAGGTATTTTAGCCTCATGTATTTTCATGTGTTTTTCGACAAACGTCTTTCTTTGTTTGTTTTTCCCTGATGAAATTGCATTTTCTAGTATTCTAAGAAATGAAAACGATTTGCTTCGGGTCCCATTCTATCCTTCGCGAAAAAAATCTCAGCTAGCTTCCAATTTTAAACTGACGCGAACACCGACCATATATGGAGAACATGGTATAATGGCTCATATATCATAACGGCTAAGCCAATCAAAACGCTAGAATTGCATTATCAAATGATTCAGTTTTTAATAATTCTAAAATTTAAAATAATTTAAAAATTTTGAATTTGAAAGTATTAAACTGATTCATGCTCACCTATTTTTGGTTAAGGTACAGTAAAACGGGCACAAAAAAGGTGCAACTAGTATTTCAACATTGCAGCAAAAGGAGTTGAAAAACAATGTTGCGCTTTTTATCACCCACGTTCAAACCTCACAGTCTTGCAACAAATCAAATTGTTGCAGGTTGCCAAAAATTTGTTGCAGAAAGTATAGAGTAGTTCTACTTTTTGCATCTGTCTACGTTGCGCGTTTACCGGCTCAAGGCAAACTTGTTTTGCAGCAAGTAACGTAATGCCTTTGTATGGCGTGACTCCCGCATAATCTTATCCAATCAGAAGTCAGTATTTACTCAACTTGCAGCAACCTTTATTTGTTTCAATACAGGTTTGAACGTGGATGGTAAAACGGGCAACATGCTTGTCAACACGTTCTGCAGCAATGTTGCGAAACAAGTTGCACGTGTTTGTTGCCAGTTTTACCTTAGCTTTATCTATTACAATTTTTTCACACTTTAATAACTTTTAAAAAAAATTTCCCTGAGAACTCCAGTGAAATTCAATATTTTTTCCGTTTATACACAATACCCTTATCTATGGATTCTAGGATCATGAAAAAAATTTTGTTTGAACTGAGGCTTACAAGATATTTTTGCATCAGAAACAATCATACAAAACTAAACCAGCAAAGAATGAAACTTTGCAGATACGAAATCGTTAATATAAAAAGACTTCGGGTCAACAAAAGCTGTCTTGAGTAAAGGAAATAAATCATTCGTTCTCTAACAGCCGTTTTCTCCTGGCTACTCGTACATGATGCTCATAAAGAACTTTCACGCACATTGGTTCGGCGCAAAGTGACTTGCAAACATTTTTATATCATGCCGCATGCCATTTTCATGTATCGAGAGGAGGAGAAAAATTTCAGTACGCTCTTTTAAATGAGTCTTAACTCCTTTTTTGACTTTCATAGATTAAATCCTTTACTAACTTTTACAGCGGGAATAACAGCCCCCTCCCCCCGGGCGATTGTGATGCGTGATCGAAGCTTGAGTGAACATTTTAATAAGCTCTTTTATCAGGGTTTTATATAAATCACTTCTTTTTTTCACTTTTGTTCACAGGAATAGGGGAAAGGTTTAATGTTGAGTTTTTATAATTTTGATAATTCGGGGCGCGTAAGTTAGAAGAATCCTTCTGTGGTGCTAAATCAACTTAAACAAAATGTTTTAGAAGAAAAAAAGTAGACTAACGGGCCTGTATCATATACACCCTGAGGCAGATATATTACTTTGTCCAAAGAATAGAAATGATAGGGTCTTCAATATTCCCTTAAAATCCGTAAAGAGCGCTTTGGTGTCCAGACTGATTTTTGTTTCTGACATGAGTTATCTGACTGCAGCAATAGCTGAGAACTGGATTTAAGACACGAATGTTCTGAAGTCTAAATGTCTAAAATGTCCGCGGAAATATTTAGCGTAGTTGGCACGCGGAATAAATATAAGGCTGACGTGCAGATGTTTCATGCTGCGCTAACCCCAATTCAGTCAATGCTAGCTTTGGTTTTGTCGAACACGATGCTTTTCCCACCAAGCACTTTTAATTCAAATTAAAATCATTCTACGCCGTCTTTCACTGTAAATAGACTGAAAAGATAGTGGATATCTTGGCAATCACCGAACTGGAAATTTTTAAAAAAGTAAATTCTTTTTTTTACCAAGAAAGCCAAGATGAAACAATGTCTTTCTCAGTATGTAAATTGTTGCTTTCAACTCCGTATTTCAGAAAAATAATTATTCTAAAGACGAACTCAGACTTAGTCTAGATCCCCTCGGTGCACATCACTGTCAAACTGTTCATCCAAGCAATTTTTCTTATATTTAATACTTCACTACAGAAAAGTACAGTCACGATATATAAACTTACCTCAAGATAAGATGTACCATTGTCGACCCCACCGGCAGCGATATCGTAGTTTACCATACCTCCACCGCCAGGATTTTCTGTAAAACCCACTGCACACCAGCCGGTTGCTTTACAAGTCATGTTGAATACCAGCTTGTTGTTGCTACAGGTCCAGTGCAACATGAAATTGCCGTCACCAGAACTAAACGTAGCGTAATTCAATGCATGAACTACATGAAGAGAACAAGGAAACAAGATAAGCATAAAAAATGCGTAGTTCTTAGCGAACGCCATCGAAACAACCCTCGCTTCGGATGAAATTCCCAGAACGAATATAGCGGATAAAGCTGCGTAATGGTAATGAAACCCAAACTGACTGAAACACTGGCTTATATAAGTACCCTCAAAATAAATTACCTGCAAAACATTCGTCTGAAATATATTTGCATTATTAAAGATGATTATCGGAAGTGTTAAATATAGTTTAGTTTTTTGCCTAGTCACGACCTGTTAGGGTTTCGTTTTTTTGAAAACATTTTTCTCGCGATTATGATTAAAAAATATTATGGAGGCAATTAGCTTTTAGCCAATTTGTTTGTTCATCTAAAGTGAGTATGCAGCCACAGTGCTGAGTCGGGCATTGATTTCGGTCTATCTATGACAACAAAATATGGTCAAATTTAACCAGGTTGAATGAAATGAAAATTAGCATTAAAAGAACGAAAACTGAACGACTGTCTTTAACGTAATATATATTCAAGTATAAGATCTGAATGGGCTTTGTCACGGCTGTGACCGGTTCGTCTTGCTGATATTTCCAACTACGCTTTCTTATACCGGCAATGGAAATGATCAAAAAGTAATAAAAATAATCACAGCTTCCTGTCCTACAAACATACTTCCCAAGTATTATATCATACGTTACAAACAACAAATTAAAATTACTTTAAGCAAAAAACCTGCTTGGTTAACAGGTTTTCAAAAACCCACAATTTCACCTGTTTAATCTTTTTCAAGTTTGTCCATTCGTGTCTACTTATACACTTGCTGTGTCATCAGTATTGAAAAGTTTTGAGCGACTATTTTTGTGTTTCACTCAATTTGGTGGCAGTTCCTACTGTTAGAATTTGGATAAAACTCGTGCCGACACAGCTCCTTTAACTTTAACTTTCATTTGTGCTAAATATAGAGTCAGTAAATATTATCAGCTTATGAAGCCAAAGTGAGTTGTTTGACTAAACGTGTGTAAGCTTTGGTGTGAATAGTTAATGATCACTTTCCGTTTTCAGTTAGCTTCAAATCACTTAAGGGAATCATAAAAACACTAGCAGTAAAGATTAAGTCCTCACATCTTTAAAGGACAGACATTAAACAAAATATAATAAACAAAAATATTACAGCGCAAATTTTACAGTGCAAGTTTACATTGATAAAGTTAAGGTCAGCTATATTTGTCTTTTGAAATAAAATGTAGAAATTGTCACATCCTGATTGGTCGGGAGCTTTTGTTTATTATATACCATTGACAAGAGTATGGTTGATTTCTTGAATAGAAACGCGCGTTTTGACGGGTTATTTAGTGGTGAAGTTTCCTCCGGACTGAGTTAGCTTTCCCTTGGCAGCGCTGACTCTCTTTCGAGTTCTGTTCACTGTGCCCCTGATGAGAATGACTGACCTTCTGAGCAGACTATAATTTTTTAAATTACTATCTGTCTACGTTCCTGTTTACAGCTCACTAGAACTTAATAACAGTGTACCATTGATAGCTACTGTATTTCTCACTTAGTTCTTGTATTGTCAGTTGCTAAATGAGCATTTACCACTTACTTAATGCTACACATTTTTATTATATGGAGGAGAGTGTTTTACTGGGAACTAAACCACTCGTAGATTCCATACGCCACTTCATCCGGGAGCCGAGTGGCGTATTTTCCGTATGTCACCTTTGTGAGTGTCGTATCGTTCAATGACGTCACGATTCCCGCCTTTTGCTTTTGTTGAATTGGTTTCTCCATATAATAAAAAGAACATTACACGTTGGCTCGAAGATATGAATTTTATTTTCTCGTGGCAAGAACAATATCTCACGAGTGAGCGAAGCGAACGAGTGAGATATTGTTCTTGCCACTCGAACATAAAATTCATATCTTCTCGCCACCGTGTAATATCCTCTATATATTTAAAAAGAAATCTAACGTATTTGTGGCTATTTCACCCAAAGCTACATGTAGTTTACGCTCAATGAACTAATGTGTGGTCATTGAACTACTGGTGTGGTTATTGAACTAACGAACTAATTCAATGCATGAACTACATGGAGAGAACAAGGAAACAAGATAAGCACAAGAAATGGGTAGTTCTTAGGGAACGCCATCGAAAATACCCTTGCTTTGGATTAAATTCCCTGCACTCGTAAGTGCGATAAAGTCGTGCAATAGTAATGGAATCAAATTTGACTGAAGCACTTCCTTGTCCAAAATTTACTTTATTCAAACCGTAAGCATATTTACCGATTATAAAGATCATTATCTTAAGTGGTTTTGTTTAATCATTTGCCTAGTCATGAACTGACTAGAGTGATTTTACTTAACCTTTGATGTAGATAGTGGACTTCTGTAGTGCACTCTAATTTCTTTGTTTTCTTTTGTTTTTGTTGTAGTTCTTGTAACTATGTGGCACTATACTAGCTAGATATTGTTTCACCGGTTACCTTTTATGTCATAATAGAGAAATTTAGGGTGACATTTACGACAAACAGCAAATGAGAATTTTTGCCACATGAACAATCTTGTCGGGACCTCGAGTTAGTGTTCTCTTTAGCGAGAGTTCGTAATAGCGGAAGTTTACTTTAATTAGCCAAACGCCTGTAAATTGTTTTTGCCTGGGATTTAGTTTCTGTCCGTATTATCGTAGTGTCCGTTATAGCGGGGTGTCCGCAAGGCGAGAGTTGGCTGTATGGGAACCCTATAATCAGTGGTTTCTTGTTGGTTTCCGCGCTGACGTCATCCAGTGTGAAGTCACGGACCTTTTATTGTTTTCGGAAATGAACCGGTTTGCCACCGATGATCACGGTGCACTCATGTCTTATTTAGAGGGGCCTACGTTATTTATGGCTAAGGGAGAGGTGGGGGGGGGGGGGGGAATTTTTAAAATCAGGGGTGGGTGGGGATTGGTTTCAAATAGTACATTAAAATTGTTTTGGGGGTAACTTTTAGAATTATAATGTTTTTTCAAATTCCCCGCTTTTGTTACCGTTTTTTTCAGAAGTATTTAAAAACTCCACTTTTTGAGTCATCCAGTGTGAGGCTAAGGTCTTTTTTTGTTGTCGGAAAATGTGCGGGTTTGCCACCGCTGATCAGGGGGCCCTCTGGTGTTATTGGGGGGGGCCTTAGTTATTTGGTGTGAGGGGGGGGGGGGGGGGGGGGGGGAGGGAATTTTCAAAATCAGAGTTGGATGGGCATGTGTTTCAAATAGTACATTAAAATTGTTTTGGGGGTAACTTTTAGAATTATAATGTTGTTTCAACTCTCCCGCTTGTGTTACCGTTTTGTACAGAAGTATTTAAAAACTCCACTTCCTCCACTGGTAGTGAAGAACCTGGTTCAGCAGTTAGCCTGTTCACAGACCCTCTATTTTCCTTTCAGGGGTCGTAGAACGCGCTTTAAAAAATAAAAACCGTAGGGGATTTATGGACCATAGATTAACTCGAGCGCTGCCGAATTGTAAAAAAGAAAAGAAAATATATGGACAGGTGTAGGTCTCAGTTCGAAAGGTGGAAGAAAGTGTGAGGTGCTGTACAATTAGCAATATTTGACTTATTTATCCTGTTGTTAACAACAGCTTCCTATCAACACACAAATATCAACCAACAACATTTCTGGTTTATTGTGTCGCAGTAGGCCGCTTATTTAAATGCTTTATTTGGAGACCAAACTGAGCCTAAAAAACCGAAATTGTGAAAAATAATGGAGGAAACCTGGGTAGGAACCAAGCCCCAAAACTCCACAACCTTCCTACGAGGCCGAAAAAAATAAAAGAAAAACATAAAATTAAACTTTCTCGCAGAAAAGGAAGCGTAACGACTGGGGTTGACTCGCATAAAACAGCCTATATTTCTACCAAAATACTAATTCCACTCTGCACTTATTAAACACCCAATTGCTTTCAGAAATACTTGGTGTCATAATCATTCAAAGCATCTCACAAGTAATCAACAGCTAAAATAACAGCGAACAGAAATCAATTCTCTTCTAATGCCACGCGACCGAAGAGAATTTACAAATCCCGTTAAGCCATGCAATTTGTTGATATATGTACAGTAGAAATGCAAGAGAGAATAAATCTAGATTATTTTCTGTTGGTTTCTGTGTTTCAATATCGTAGTGCGTACGCATTTTGCCTTCACAAACAGCTTCCTTGTTGACTGTATTTAATATACTTAGGAGCTCAAATTAGTAGTCATGCTTCAGCAAAATTAAGTCTCGTTGTTGCGTGTCCTTCCGTTCCGTGCGTTCCCTTTTATTGATATGCATAAGGGTCAAGTCTATGACGTCACCCATTGTTATAACCTAGGGAAAAAAGGCGTTCCTCCCTACGTAAGAGGTGGGTTCCTCTATATATAATAGATAATTAAGTGGGTAGTCGTTTCTTTTCTTTTGGAAGAACACAATAGGAACAATAGGCTTGCCTAGACTTGCCCGTTAAGTAACTTAAGCCCGGTTTACCGGAACGTCTATTAAAAGGAAAATAGGAGCCATCACCTAGCAACGCAAGAAACGGCTTATATCTTCTTATTTAGCGCTAAAAACTCGGATATATCAACAAAACATGCACAAAATAGCGCTGAAAACTCTCTATTTCAATTTTGTCTGACTATTACAGAACCGTTTTCTCCTATCTATCTCGAGGAAATGAAAAACTATCAAAGTCTCAGCGTTTCACTCACCGTTAGTCAGTTAATTATGCGAGTTCGCAAACCCACTGTTGCATACAAATTAGTTCTACAGGAAAAACCCCAAGGGAGAACTTGACTAATTATTATAAAAACAATAAAAACATAAAATAACTTAACAAGGATCAATTGAAACACGCGACTATTAAATGCTCGCGATAAAATCAGACAAGAGATACCGTTTTAAAAACTTTACTAAAAAACAATGACAAAAAGAGTAAAGACATAACGATTTGTAATGGATAGAAATTAATTAATCCTCTTCTTCGTCCATGGAGTACTTGTAAGGTTTGAATTTCTTCTTATGCCGACGTTTCCTCAGCTGTTTGCCATGAGCTTTATCATCATCCAAATACTTTACAAATTGAATCCGGCGCCTTTTGAAGTTCAGGCCTTGTTGTAGGGTTTCTACTGTGGAAGGAGAGGTCAGGAAAGCAGGTTTTAAGGGTGGTGGAGGGGTAGC